ATATTGAATATGATTGAACTGAACCTGAACCTGAACTTGACCAAAGTTCGGTTTCAGTTCGGTTCATAGGAACACTAGTGACATATTAAATCCAAAAATCTGCCAGCAAGCTTCAGGTGCTGAAATCCACCATGCATCTAAATATTGTTCGATCTCATTTTCATTAATTATTCATAGTGCAGCCTTGTTGTGTCTTTTGTACATGTATTTATACAAATATTTGATGGATTCTATCCTCGAGCATATTTCAATGTTGATATGACAGTTGTCTTATATATTAAATAAGGGTTGTAGGGGACAACCCAACGATTATCCAACCATTTTTTTCAATATAACACTCTTTTTCCATTATTTTGGCATCAATATTTTGGGTATGAATTTTCTCCTTCTATTGTTGTTTGAACGAATTCTTTCGGATAATGTTTTGTGCATACATTATTTTTCATGCAAGGTGCATCAGATTTGGAATGTCCGCATGGACTGTGTATCGTATTAAGTATAACAGTCTAATATAGCCTTGGGTGAGTTTGTGAATTTGGAATTTCTGCAGAGACGATAGGATCATATTCATCGGCTCCTCGAAGTTTGTCATTAGGATGAAGGATTACTAATAGATGAGCATGCGGGAGCCCACATTTTTGGAATTCGATTACATACATGTGCACAATTACTTGACTGAATATACCCTTTTCAATTATGTCTCATTATTTCTTTAAGTTTGGCATGAAATATTCTAACTTTAAATTAATTTTTTTTTTTAGATTAGTTCAAAATTGTTTTTTTTTTTTTGAAAGTTTTTAATCTTAAATTTCTTTATTCTAAGGTATTTAAATTATTGGTTTATATGTGCTTAATTCTTGTTTTTTTTTTTTTTTCTTTTTTTTTTTTGTAAGATAGTTAATTTGTACTGTTATTTATCTGTGATATCAGGTCTATCTTGCGAAGTTTGTCCTGGTAATAGTTTGGAAGTTATTTCATACCATTTGGGATTTTAAGTAATAGTAATAAACAAATTTGGTTTACCGAAAGTTTGTACCAGTGACATTGAATCTAAATATTATTGATATATATCTCAGGGACTACCTACGAAAGATGAAAGTAAAATTGTTCGAGTTTCTATTTCCAACATATTTGTAATTCCAGATTTATAGGAGTCATGTAGACCCTGATATAATTCTTTGCGAAGTTTATCCTGATTAAATTTTAGGTAATTAAGACGTTCAGATTCGATTTTGATATAATTGTCAACTACATATTGTTGGAAAAGTCGTCCACCGTAATGAAGTAATGAAGAAGAATCTTGACGATTATGTAGTTTGTATGCATAGTATTGTCTAGCCGTTACTTTTTTTTGTGATGCATTTTGCTCTATCCCCAGATGCCAGCCATGATTACCCCTTGGAAACAAAGCAGATATTGTAATATATCATATGAACTATTCAATTCAGAGACAAACTGCAAGCCCTGAGATTTCGATTGTACTATAATATCTCGCTTCATGATACCTAACAGATCATAACTTTCTACTCATATAGCTGTGACTTGTGAAGCAGTTGGAGTATTATATGTTTTTTGATATAACCCATAATCAGCCTTGATAAAAAGTCGAAGATTCGTTATGTCATTTTGAGAAGCAATTGTTCGTAGATTAGCAACAAATGGGTTAAATTAATCTAGTATTGGTTTTATGGTTTCTAAAGTGTCTTGACGGAGCTTGGGTATAATGGCAAGTCTGTTATTCGTTTCATGCTTAGTGTTATATATATATAGTTGCATAAATCTTGACCTTTCATTATTATTAGGGGTGAGAGATTCTATAGAGTGATATATTCCTCCATGAATCCGGAATATATATATTTCATCCTTACCTAATAAGTGTTTAAGTGGTCAGTGAGCGATTTTTATTATCACATTATTATTGTTTTTTTCATTATTGTCAGCTATTTTCACCATTAGCAAGTTCTTCATCTAATTTGATTCTTATTGATGTAAACGCGAAAATGTTGTTATAATCATGAATGTTATTTCGGAATTTGTTTCTTATATTATCATATCTTGTAAATAAATCTTTCATCGGTGTAGTAATATCAACTAGAGCTAGTCTATGTTGAAGAATTAGTTTTATTAGTTATTATTATAATCATTATTATCATTTTTTTTTTTTGTTATTACTTAAAATTTGTTAGTTATATATATATTTTTTTATTACTTACTTTATTTTTCTCGATACACAGCATATTCCTTCTGTCTCACTCGTGAAAAGTTTAGCACTACAATAAAAACAAATTCAAGGAGATGCTAAATTGTGCTAAATAGCAGAAGTTGTTTCTTGAAAATCGAGACCAATTTTATGTAATTTCAGACGTTTATTTCCCAAAGTACATTCTTGTCAAAGTTTTCTTCCCCAAACAAAATAATTAGCAAGGGTATCTTTATTTGGTAGCAGAAGTAAGTTACGAAGAGGAGACATTTTTTTAATCGATGAATGCAGATATTATATATATATATATTAATAATCAATAATAATCAATAATAATTAATTGGTAATCCACCAGTCAACCAGAGAATAATCATAGTAAAATGTGACTCAAATTACTTATAAAAATTAAGAGTCTCTAAATGTGGTGTGCGTGCATCTAAAACTTTTTTTTATACTAAGTTAATCACTTTTCAAACTTAAGAGACTTTTGTAAAGCTTGTCAAGACGCATCCAATAGTGGTTAGAGCGTCAAAATCGGCTTGGTGGATGCCAAGATATCTTTTAAAAACATTTCTTTTATTATGTAAACTTCTTTGCAAACAATACTATTGTTTGCAAAGAAGTTTATATAGTAAAAGAACCATTTTTTAAAAATATCTCGGTACCCACCAAGCCGATTTTGACGCTCTAACCACTATTAGATGCGTCTTGACAAGCTTTACAAAAGTCTCTTAAGTTAGAAAAGTGATTAACTTAGTATAAAAAAAGGTTTTAGATGCGTGCACGCCACATTTGGAGACCCTTAATTTTTATAAGTAATTTGAGTCACATTTTATTATGATTATTCTCTGGTTGACTGGTGGATCACCAATTAATTAATTAATTAATTATTATCTAAGCGAAATTTTTTTTTTCTTTACGTTTGTAAGTAAAATATTCACATTTATATAGATGTTTTTTTTTCTTACATTTTTATTTTTCTATTTTTTTTTATTCTCATTTTTTCATAACAATTTAATCATTTCCCATTTTTTATTTTTGTATTAAATGTTATCGGGTTCTATTTTTTTATATTTTAAGTTTAAGCATAAACTTTTTCTGTTATGCATTTATTATGCAAAGTGGAGATTAAAGCGTAATTCCAGTCTATCTATTACGTATTTATTATGCATTTATTACGCATTTATTACGCATTTATATAAATTTATTTCAGTCAATATAATTTTTTAGTTTAATAAATCCTCTTAGCATTATATATATATATATATATATTTTTGGCTACTTTAGTATGAAAAATTTTTAATTTTATGACAATTAATTTTTAAATTCTTATTGTCTTAAGTTTTAACACGTTCTGATTTATTATAGAGTATTATATTATTATTAACAACATCTTTATTATGTCTATTCATTTTTTAATTTTATTTATTTGTTCATTGTTTATTACATTCAAATTTGCTCATTGTTTATTACTTTCAAATTTATTTATTTTTTTTTTTACGCCGCTTTGCATAATATCTTTATGCGTATTATACTAATGCGTAATATCTCTCTGTGTAATATTAAAATTTATAACATGACAAAGCATAATAATTATAACAAACGATATCATTACATCATAAAATTCACTTTTGTATAACATTTTCATAATTTTTTTTTTCTAATTTCAATTTTTTTCAATTTTTTTGATTATTAATAAATTGTAGTATTATTAATAAATTGTAGTTTTATAATCTAAATATGGTTAATTGTAATTGTAATTAATAGTTATGATTAAATTTAAATAGCACAATGTATTATTAATTCAGAAATCCCATAATTCTAGTACATAACACATTCGCTAACATGTTCTCTGTTGTTTATTAATAAAAATTTTATTTATCCCATCTTTTGTGTAGCACAAAACTTAAATATAGTTAATGGTTAATTTTAATATTTGTAATTTGTAATAATGTAATATTTGTTATGACGGAAATTTAATGGCGCAATACATAATTATCATAATTCTGGTACATAACACGTTCGCTAACATGTTCTCTGTTGTTTATTAATAAAAATTTTATTTATCCCATCTTTTGTGTAGTATAAACCCAATATTTGTTATAACAGAAATTTAACAATGCAATGCATAATTACTATAATCCTGGTACATAACACGTTCGCTGACACGTTCCCTGTTGTTTATTAATAAAAATTTTATTTATCCCATCTTTTGTGTAGCATTAAACCCAAATATGGTTAATGGTTAATTTTAATATTTGTAATTTGTAATAAAATAATATTTGTTATGACAGAAATTTAACGGTGCAATGCATAATTATTTAATCAGAAATCCTTGTAATAATCATCATCTTTCTTTCAAACAAATATCTAATCAAAATTTCTAAAATGTAAAAACTCTAATTAGATAGTATAGACAATAATTTTCTATATTGTACAGAATACTGCAGAAATCACGAATAGAGTAATAAATACAGAAACTGTTACAGCTACTACAGAATTGTTGCAGAAAGTGTGTTAAAGATAAATATGTAACTTAATACTTGCAATTCTAATTCAGAGCTACTAACCAAAAATATCAAATAATAGATATTTATAGTCATTAATTTAATACTACTAAAATTAGTAAAAATATATTGTAAGAATATTAAAGTAAATATCAAAGATGCTTTGAATTTACAAGATAAGATAAAAAAATTAGTAATTGAAGAAGTCAAATAAATAAGAAAATATAAAAAAACTTCTATTATAAGTCTCAATACATATTATTAAATTTTTTTTGCTCTTATTATAAAAAAGTTTAGATTAAATATGTTAAATAATTATAAAAGAAACTTAAAATTAATTGATAAAAGTTTTTTTAAGAAGAATTTTTTTTATACTTAAATAAAAATCAACTACTTGCATTTTTTTTAAAAAAGTATTGTAAAGAAGGCATGTCTATTCTACAAGCATTTATATTACACCAATTATATCTTTTTCAAGTTTTTTTAATTATTTAGAATGTCTTAAATTCTTGTTTAAATAAAAGTATATTGCAATTATTATAAATAAAATGACAGATAGCCATTTACAAAGTGTAGTTAATACTCTATTTGTATATAGAAATAATATAAAATTAGTATCTGTCAATTTTCTTACACAAGTTAATAATTATACAATAGGACAAATACTTCATCAAGTTTTGCAAAATAGTATATTCTATTTATTAACTTAGCTATGTCTATGAAGAAATGCTATTGTAATGTTATGCTTAGTGTAATATCTTAATTGGTATATATACTTTATTGTATATATATTTTAAACTTAATTGGATAAAATAATATTTATTTAAATATGTATTAACTTATGCATAATGCAGTAGAGTTGTTCCAATAATTTGCTTTGTATAATTAGTTATATATAGCAATTATTAAATTGCATTTTTAATCTCTATAAAATAAAGCTATAATTTTTTAATTTTTTTTTTTAAATGTGGTGTAGTTATTTCCATTTTTCTAAAAATAATTTGTTAATAAGTAAAATTAAAAACTCATTTTCAAGGTCTTCAGCACATTGTCGTAAATATTTAAATCATCTATGATTTTATAAAATAATCTTAACAAAAAAATTTACTTCCTGTTATAACAAGATGAAATTCTTAGTTTGAGATGATTTTGTATACAAAGGATCACATTATGTATTAGCCAACATTTTTTCAAGATGAATGCAAGATCGACAAAACTAATATATTAAAAATTATTATATCATTATTATTAAATCCTAAAAATTTTGGTCATATTATAATTTATATTAACTTTATTGCTATTTTTTTACAGAAATTTGTACAAATGTTGGATTTTTTTCAGCAGAAAAGCTATATTTCTCCTGATTAAAAGCTAACTTGAACAACTCACTGCTATATTGAAACCAATATAAGTACTAAGTAATTTGGTTTGGACCTTGATATGTTAATTTTATCAAAATCTTTTTACTCAGTTGAATTTTATCTAATTTTTCATAGACCTTTTGATGTTGCATATTAGAAAGTTTTTGTTTATGTTTCTTCTTATCCTGGTAGGCCATTACTTTTTGCAAGCCAAGTATTCAACCCAAAGTTTCTTCATCTTGGTAATATTACAAAAAAGAATATTCAAAATTATTCAATCATACCAAAATTATCTAATCCATACAATAAACTTCTACATAAATAGTTTATTTATTGTGAATTGAAATATGATAAAGTATTTGAAGAAATCACATTAAATGAATTTTGGTTTAATATAGCTAGTTCTTTACTCTGTCTATCTGAAATCGCGCT